CGATAATCGCAACACTTCGAGGCAATATGACCGATCATACCCACACAAAGGACAAACCTAAGGGATTACCCTAGACTCGAGTTTTATGCTAGGCGATAATCGCAACACTTCGAGGCAATATGACCGATCATACCCACACAAAGGACAAATCCAGAGGCTTGCTAGCAATATTTGTAAAATATACCTCTTCACCAAAGGATGTTGGACGTAAGTTTAAAATCTCCCAAAAAATGAACCTAAAGTATATTTAAAGATGAATAGCGTTAGCAAAGATCGAGTAATTTCGTAAACACCCTGGATTGGAGTTTTATGCTAGGCGATAATCGCAACACTTCGAGGCAATATGACCGATCATACCCACACAAAGGACAAACCTAAGGGATTACCCTAGACTAGAGTTTTATGCTAGGCGATAATCGCAACACTTCGAGGCAATATGACCGATCATACCCACACAAAGGACAAATCCGGAGGCTGCTAACAATATAAGTAAAACATACCTTTTCATGAGCATAAGCTATATTCCTTGTCACATAATAAATATTTAACAGCTTTCGTAAAGTATTTTTAAAAACTATTTAAATGTAATATATCTTTGTAGCAAAGATCATTTCGTATAGTGTCATGATTTTGAAATAAATGGCAAAGATAAATGACAAAGCCAGAGAGAGAGTTGATAAAATTATTTTGCTAAAAGAAAGAAAGATTTTTTAGGGGTTTTAATATGACGAAGCGAGTACCAAAAAGGAAATCTAAAAACGTGGCAAATGAAAGGTATGCTTCGCAATCTTGATGGACTTGTGGTATGCTTCTTGATTGACATTTCTGTGAAACCCAAATTCTTGAGACATTTCTGTGAAACTCAAATTTGGTATAGTCATTTTTGTGTTACTTTAATTAGAGTAACATAATACAAACGTTTTAAAGAACCTTTCGATAATAAGTTTTAAATAATTAACGTGTCCCTTATGCGCAAATAATATAAATACGAGAGAAGGTTTTTATTTTTTTTTCAAAAAAATCCTTCATATGTATTTCATATTATTTCGCGTGATATTCTAAGTTTGTATTACGTTATTGATCTATCAAAAAGTACCAAATTTGAGTTTCACAAAAAGTCTATACCGAATTTGGGTTTCACAGAAATGTCCATCAAGATCAATACTTTTGCGTATGCTTCAATATCTACAATTTCCATAAACAGCAACAGTGCATTCGCGGATCTGTGAAAATAATATAATTGATTAATATATGAGCGGTTACATGATCCGAGGCGTTGTCGATCAAAAAATTTTTTCTTTACACTTTTGATGATCTGATTTTATTGAATTTATATCTTTACGCATAATGTTTATACATCCCTCCCAGCCGCACAAGAAATCATTAATAACTTTTTATTGTGCATCTATTAGGACCTCAACGGGACCTCAAATGGCTGAGCATGACGTATGTAATTACGTGCACATTCTCATCCAATAATCGGTCCTAATAGACAAGAGTTATTGGGCAGGGGCTATATCAGCCTATCGGCTGATATTTAACCGCCCCTGCCAATAACTATAAATTTGACTTTTTGGTTGCATTCGTTCATTTGAATATATATTTCTTGGTTATTATAACAGGACCGGGAAAACTTCTAATGAAGGTCACCAGAAAAATATAAAAAATTATATAACTTCGAACTAAATATGTAAACCAAAATGATGGTAAGTAGAATCATAATATTATAATAAGATATTTTACTTTTAATTATTAAGTTTAGAATAAAACTAGCAAACTTTTTATAAAGCTTTTATTATTAGTATTGGTATGTTTACTGTATTATAAAAAAAAAAATTAGAAAAAACAAAATGTAATATTATTTAGAAAAAATCTTTGCAAAATTTGATTCATTTCCAGTGTTTTAAAATTTCCAAACTTTCTTTTGTTAAAGTAAAAAAAAAGAACCTTAAGAGTCAAAAGGAAAATAAAACTTCTTTAGCTAAAATGTGACCGACTAGTTTTCCTCCCGCCTCACATGTATTTGTCCAAAGATTATTGTAAATATTCAAATAAATGTTAACTAAAAGATATGATAAGTAATCCAAAAAATTTGCTTTTGCTACCCAAGCATATCATTCATACATTAAGATAATTGGAGTAATACAAAGCTTTTTGTCTGAATAAATTATTAAGTATTTACCTAGAATCAGAGGATGAAAATCAGATACATTTGCATTAATAATATTATGTACTTTTAAAAAAAATATTAGATAAATTAGAAATTTATTTATGAAATTACTTAAATTTTATAATATCAAATAAAAGAAATATTTACTATTGATTCTAACAGCTATTGGAATAGTTACAAGTCTTTTACATTCTTTCCAACATTCTTTTCATCAGTTAATACAATTTTCTTGAATATTAAAATTATTTGTATTCAGTAATTAACTGATTAGCATTATTAGGATTAATTAAACTGGTTATTTCAGATATTTAAGATGATTCTTGCTTGTTTAAATTTTTTTTTGAATGTTATAAAAAAGCATCATAGTTTTTCTGAATATTAATTAAAACTTCAAAATGTAAAAACTCTTCAAATGTAAAAAGTGATTCAAAATTTTTAAATTGCTTTTAAGAAATTAGTTTTTGATTAAATAAATCAGAAAAAATTACTAATAAGTATTTATTGTCTCATTTTCATCTGCAAATTTATTATTATTATTTGATTCATCTAATTTAACTAATAAGAGTCAAAAAATTTCATCCTTATATTTTTAACTATTATTTGCAACTCAGCTTATTTTAAAATTAAAAATTAAAAATATAAATTTTTAATAAATATTAAAAATAAAAAATAATTAATTTTTTACCAGTTAAATTTTAATATTGATCATCTTCACAATTATTATTAACTATTTTTAAACTATTTAAATTATTTAAAGAATATTCAATATAATTAATAAGTTTTTGCATTAAAGGTACAGTTTGATCATCAATTTGAAGATATTCTACAAATAATACAAATAATACTACATTATTATAGTTAATATGAACTGCTTCTTTAATATCATCTTCAGATAATTAATTATATAAAAAATATTTAATAGGTTCATGAAAAAGTAAAGTATTATTAATAATAAATATATAATCTATAGTAAAAATAAATTTATTATATACTTTAATTTAATAAGTAAACTTTAATAAGTATATAAATTCTTACCTTCAGCAGATATTTAATCTCTTGATGTATTAATTAATCCAACATGTATAATTTTATCACATATTTGAATTTTATAAATTAAAATTAGCTATTTTAATTCTTATTTTATAATCAATTTTTTGATTAAGATATGCATTATATAATTCTCTTATTTATTAATAATTTCTTTTATTTAAGTTTTAAATAATAAATAAGTAAATAAAAAACCCAATTATATCAGACGAAATATTATCTTCTAATTTAATAAATTGTCTGAATAAAACATCTGATATGCAGCAATATAAACTTGCTTATCAATATAAAGAACATTATATTTTAATAAAATATACTCATCTTAATGTGCTAGTTAATATAATTGATCATATTGTGCAATATTTATTTCTAATAAAAGAAATTGTGTTTTAGTAAATAATTAATTCTGTACTGTTTTTTAGTATATTTGGGATCTTAAATATAAATTAATAGTTTTTTATTTTTAATTGTTATTTTAAAATATACATTATAAAATGGATTATTAAATATAAAATATGTTGTTGATAAATTTATAATTTGTATTTAAATGTTAAATTCAAATCTTATCTTATTAGTACCTATACTAAAAATATTTATATTATTTTTGATATGCAAAATCCAATATAGTATTAAGATTAAATTTTTTTCTGTAGATTTATCTCCTTTTATAGGTATAATAGCAATTACTATTAAAGGTATTTTTCCAATTAAAATCTAATATTTATAATAATATAATAAAAAATATTTCTAATAAAAAAAAGTTAAAAAAAATTATCTTAAGTATAATAACCCAAATTTGTGTTGCAATTCCATTATTTTATAAATATAATATATTGTAACCCAAATGATCTTTAAGAATTGGAAAATGTGATATATTTATTAGGGTATAATTTTACAATTTATATAAAAAAATATTTTATTATTAATTTTTTTAAAATAAATTAGCTCTAAATAAATATTTTTATCTAAAATTTTATTTACATATTCATATTATTTTGAATAGCAAAATATCATATTTAATATAAATTGAAAATAAAAACTTTAATTTATACTATTTATAAATTATTATATTTAATCATATATTATATAAAATTTCATACTGATTATTTATATTATGATTTACTTGTTCTAAAGTGTTTCAATATTTTTACTAGTATAATTTTCAGCTTCATCTTTTGTAAGCTCAGATAATTCATTATTGCTTAATACTTTATGCAATCTTTTGTTTAAATTATTAATATTTGTTTTAATACTATTTAATAAATAATTAAAATAATGTATATATTTATCATTAAGTTTTGTAAAACATTCTTTATAATAACTATGTTCACAGATTAAAACAAATAATATAAAGTACTAGGTAATAAACAAGTTTCTGTATCATAAAACTTTTCATTTATAGGTATATGTAAAGTATTCCAAGCTAATGAAAGAACTTAAATATCTACATTTTTATATTAAAACTTAACAGTTCAAATTGTTTATTATTACTTTCTGTTTTATCTATATTATGATAAATTTTATTAAATAAAGATAATAAAAATAATGACTTTTTTTTTTAAAGTTATTAATTTAGCTTTTAAATAGTTGGATTTCTTATATTAACAAAACTATTTTTAAAGCCTTTATTATTTCTTTCCATATCAATTATTTTTACCTTTTGAATAATTTGTTTATTAGTATTTAATTCAGCTGTTTGCTATCTTAAAGAACTATGAAAGTTTTCAACAAAATAATCATTAAATTATTTTTTAAAATATTAAGCATTGGATGCTTATTTAATGTCCAATAAAACACATCACTTAAAAATATTTTAAATAATACCATCATCACTTGAATTAACAGTTTCAGCATAAGGATGCTTATGCTTATTTTTTTTTTTTTTGATTTATTTGTATTATTATCCAAATTATATAAAGTATTACGAATTTCTTCACTAATATTGGGACACTCCTCTTTAAGATGTTTCAACATGTTGCTAGCTATACGGCCCATTTTTCCAGAACAATATTTGCATTTTGCTTCATGATGAGAACTATTAAGTTTTGGTCCTTCAATAAAGTGAAACCAAATTAACTTCTTTTTTCTACCTTGCGGCATTTTGTGATACTAACTAGATTATTAAAATCACATTACCACATGAGTTTAATTAATATTACTTATTTAATTACTTTATTAAGTAGAATTTTTAGCTAAAAATTTAATCACTAATTGTAAAAGCTCTACATAATCTTAATACTATAAAGGTGAAGATCTAGTAATTACAATGTTCAATAGCATACCTAGCATAAAACAGATCGATAGGAATAGGGTTAGGAAGAGGCGGAATCACAAAATTAGCCGGTACCCCATGATAAAGACAATTCAGTTGAATGTTGATCACATTTTGTCCAAGTTGTGGGTTGATTGGATTTCCCTGACGGTCAACTGTTCCAAATTCGTACTAAATAAAGGAATACTTTAAATTTGTTTTCAATTCTATGCTAAAAGTATAGAATAATATAACATACCATCGTTGAGTTTAATGCGCCAGCAGCTGTTCGAACATTTGTGCAATAATGCCAAGCCTATTAAGAATAAAACTATTCAGTGCCTAAGTTGAGTGAGAATCAAATCATCTTATCATTACTTACAGTCATGCATGATGGTGCTGTGTCTGAATCAATAGGTTTCAATTTAATCACAATAGCGTCATGAGCTCGACCAGTTGCTAACCAATAATTTTCTACTTTGTTTTTGACATTTGCTTCAGTTTCTGAATACGCAACCTCCACTACTAAATTCGGCCAGGGATGATTCTAAAAATATAGTTATTGTTAGTGCCAGAAATTTAAAATGAAAATAAACAAGGTAACTAATTCATACTTTTCCATCAGATCCATCATCATTGACTTGAGGTTTTGCTTCTGGTATATAAGAGGCATCTGCTTCTTTACCTGATCCTCGTGATTTTGTTGCTTTTAGTCAAAGATTGTTAGTTTGTAATGGAAAATATTCAAAATTAAAAAAAAAGCCAAATACTCACACATTGATCCGGAAGCAAAAATGCCAAAATAAGTACACTTCACGGAACGAGTAGCTTCATAAATTTCCTGGGTAATAGCACTAACACAATACTCGTGGAATCTCAATGGAAGTTCAATTACATTAACTGTCCCGTTTTCCCATTCCCACCAGCCATGAATATTGTATTTATCCGTTTTTTCAACATATTCTTCCCAAGAAACGTCGGTAGCAAGCTCATAAGGAATACTTTATAACAAATAACAGAAATTAGCTCATTAAATAGTAAATTGTCAAGTAGGAGAGATTTATTTAACCTTGCTTCTTCCCATTTGGCCTTCGGGTGGTAATTACCCGTTTTCCACCAGTAATTGCGATATTTTTTCAACTTCTCATCAGTACCAGCCCCCTCAATCTCCAAGGTATTTTGAGAGGTGGCGGCAGTATTTTGAGAATCTGTCATGCTCCATGAAATAAAAGAATCAGTGTCATTTCCGTAAATAGTTGCCATATTTTAGTTTTAAAAAAAATATTATTCGTCACACGAGATTATAATTTAATACGTCATATCAAGATACGCCATTACGTCATGCTAAAATTATATATAACAAAGTCCCTAATCATTCTCATTTACAATTTTCATTTACATGCATTAAAAAAGAGTATTAAAACAATAAAGATCATTTGTTCTAATTTGAACCATAAGTGATCGAACTTGGTATAATCAAAATGAAAAATTAATTGAAAAAGAAAAGATTGAAAGGGCAAGTAAGCTAAAAGGTAAAAAAAAATATTCGTATTAGAAAATCAAATGACAAATTGATTTTGTCTTAAGCTGATTCCATATGGGACACAATAGTCTTCCTTTGAACCATCCACATAATGAGAATGAAGTCTTACAAGGAAATGGAGCCTTAAGGTCAGAAAATATATCTTTCCAGAATGCTAATTATCTTGTCAAAAAATTACAATGATAGAACCGAATGTTGCTTGACCGCCTAACAGCAGAAAATCAATGGGAAAAGGGAAGATCATAAAATTTATATTCAGGTCATCATTTGCAGCAGAATTATAACAAGAACGATAACAGTGATGATGGTAATATCAATGTCAAGGGTGAGAACTATTCCGATAATATAATAGTGTCATTTGAATTATCCAAATCAAAAGAAAATCCAATTCTTGTAAGAATCCCTTAGGACAATTGCATCACCTTGGCGGATGAAAGAAACTCCCAAACGTTTAATATGTGCAATCATGTGCAGAAAGGTGAGCTATCATATTTTGTTTTGATCAAGTTTGATGTTCTTTCGGACTTAAATTTTGATTTATATTATTATTAGTATTTTTACGTTAACAAATAATGAAATATCTGTAATAAATAGACTAGGATATGTTAACCTCGTTATCGTCATCGTTTAATAATTTATTTTATTTATCATGAATATTATTATACAGTCAAAGCTCATTATAGTGAATCCCGTTATAGTAAATTCACGTTATAGTGAATTTTTTTAATTCACAAATTTAATTTTTTATAATAAATTTTTCTCGATATAGTGAACTCTTAATAAAATCTCATTATAGTAAACAAAAATGATCAGAACTAAGAGTTCACTATAAATAGCTTTGACTGTATGCAATTTAAAGGGTTCAAAAATTAAATATTAATAACTTCTTATGAGTATTGTTAGTGCGTAAAGTGCGACTTCCATAACATGCAAAATATTGGGTGTCTGGTTTGATAACGAGTTTCTATATCAAGGTTATAGTTGCATTTGGTATTAACTCAATTGTTTATTAATTTTTTAAAATACAATACATAATTATTTATTAATTTTAGTCTGTTGCAGAAACTTTTTTTATTAATTTGTTTCATATAGAGCGAAAATAATAAAAATTAAATAAAACTAAAGTAAAAAAAATAGAAAATTTGTCTATTATCCAAAAAACTAAAAAAAAAAAAAAAAATATTAAATAGAATGATTTTGGTAGCAAATGTCTTAAATAATATGTTCTAAATTTTTTTTTTACAAATTCTAAAGTGTTTATTTATGCTTAGTATCAGACATTTGAAAAATATCTAAAAGTAACAATAAAGTTAAAAGTATAAATAAAGTTAAAAGTATATAAAATAAATTAAAAGCATAAAGCTTAACATGTATAAAAGATTTATTTAACAGTTAGATATAAGAGTATATTCTAGTTTATTAAAATTAAAATTATCAATATTAATATAGATTTAATTTCAAAATAATAACCAATATTACAATAATTTATTAATTATATTTTTATTTATCAAAAAATTATCCCTTAGATTATATAGCAGACAAATTTGTCTGCAAAATTAAAAAAAAGTGTTAATTTTTTTATAAAATATAAAATATTAATTTTAGTAATATTATTATTATATAAAAATATAATTTAATATATACTTTATCAACTTTATTAACAAAGATTTTAAGTTTTTTAAAAGGTTTTAAAATAATTTAATTTTAAAATTAAGTTTTAAAAAATTTATTATAGTAAATTTTTTAAAATTTATAGATTTGTATACTAATTGAATACTTTATCATTAATTAAAGTCATAAAATTTCTTAATAAATTATAAAAATGATAATTATAAAAGGTTTTCTTTATAAAAAATTTTATAATATTCTATTATAATTAATAAAATGAAAAGTAAATTCTAAAAAGTTTATGATAGATTAATCATGAAATTTTTTAAAATAATTTTTTTTTAAAAATTACAAATTTTTAGCTTCTAAATAACATTAAAATTTTTATTATATAATTAAAAGATAAAACTTATTATAATATATTATATATTTATAAAATTAATTTAAAAAAAATTTTTAAAAATATTATTTATTTATAAAAGTAAATCAGAAAAGAATTTATAGTAAATAAGTAGGCAAATTTACTTGCGAAATCCTATAATCTAAGAGATAATCAATTTAGTTTTGAATGATGAAGGATTAGATAGTAAAAAAATTTATAAATTGTTTAATATTAAATATATTATAACTTTAGTAATTAATTTCAAAATATTATAATATAATTAGTATCAGATACTTTTAATACTTTTAATACTTCTATATATTGAAAATTATATAATAATAAAATTTTATTTATTTGTTAAATCAAGAAAATTACTTAAATAATTCTTTATTTTTTATAATACTATAATTCATAAGTTATTTTAAGTTTAAATAAATATTTAATAATCAATATTATTATAAAAAATAAGTTATTTTATAATTATTATAATTTAAACTAATTTATTTTAAAAGATTCTTTAATTTAATAATATTTTTAGTTGGTAAGTTATATTTATTAATAAATAATATATTAAACTTTTATAAAATATTTTAAATATAATTTATTTTATTAAATAAATTAACTAAAATTCTTATTATAATTAAGATTAATTAATTATTATCCCTTAGATTATAGGGTTTCGCAGGCAAATTTGCCTGCTTATTTATTATAAATTCTCTTCTGATTTACTTTTATAAATAATTAATATTTTAAAAAATTTTTTTTTAAATTAATTATATAAATATGTAATATTAGTGGTCTGATCTGTGAATACATTATCCAGATATTCGTATGGATATACAGATATCCGGATAGTAATTTTATGTGATGAATATCTATTAGCGGATATGCAGATATCTATGGATATCTGTGCAGATATCTGTGATTTGCATATCATGTGATTTATGTCATATGATATCATATAATGTTATATGATCTTCATATTATAAAAATGAATTATTATATGATCATTGAACGTGACTTTTTTGTTATAATTAGAAATGTCTAACAATAACTTTGAAGAAGAAATGCTACGATCTAAAGATCCTGAAAAAGCTCCAGCCCTGAAGAAATAGTTTAAAAAGATTAAGGCAAAGGACACAAAAGCCATTAAAATAGCAAAGACTAACTCCATATATGGATTTAAATAAAATAACTGATCAGCTAGTATTAATTCAAAATGCAAAACCACTGGGAAATAGTTGGATATGGGGATATTTTGATCAGTATAAACCAGTTGGACAATATAAAAGGGTAGTAAAATGTTTAGTTCAAGTTCAAAGAAAGAATGGTGCAGAACCATATGGCCATTTTATGGGTTCTGATAATTCCACTAGTAATTTTATTGTTCATCTAGCTACACATCGAATTACTGAAGAAAGTCATAATAGAAAGATAAATGAAGTACGAAATAATAGCCAGGTATCACAACTCCATATAGATGAAATAATACGAAATAATCCAAATATTAAAAGTAATCGAGATTGAAAATTTATTGGAATTGTGATTAAGGATAATCGACCAATTAGTATATACAATGATGAAGGGTTTATTGAATTTATTCACGAATTTGATCTGAATTATCAACCTCTAAGCGATAAAACAGTTCAATGATTATTAGCTGAAGCATATAATCAAATAAAAACTGTTTTAACAAAAATATTTAATGAAAATATTCTTTCTTGCTCTATAACAACAGATCTTTGGACTGCTCGAAGTAGATTTAGTTATATTGATATTGATAATAATTTTAGGTTTTGTAAAGCAATCTTATCTGTTCAATATGTGCTATACTCCCATACTGGTGATAATCCTTGTGGAGTTTTACGTGATATTATCTCCAATTGGAATCTAACCGGTAAGGTTTTTACAATGACAACTGATAACGAACCAAATATGGTTCGGGCTAGCAAATTAATGGATGAACTTACATGACTCCCCTGTATAGTGCATACTCTTCAATTAGTTGTAGGAAAAGGTAAGTTATGTATTTTATGGTAGATATCATGTAACATTATGGTAAAGCTATGATGATATATAATAGTAAGGTTTCTGAATTTATTTATCGGAATCTAATTTTAAGTCTAAACCGTGAAATATTTTTTAATATTTTCAGGTTTGCTTCTTGCTGAAGTTTTAATTGCAAGAGCCAAAAGATTGATAAATTTTTTTACGATGCCCAAACAAACGGAAAGGCTACTAGATATTCAAAAAAGCACCTATCGTTCTAATAATGAGGAAAGTATTCATTTAAATTAATTTTAAGACATAAATAATGATAATTACATTAAATTTTATTTTAATAATTCCGTTTCATTTGTTTATAACTCAATTTCTATTCCATAAGTTTTACATACTGTAGATTAAACTTTGCTTTTTAATTTAAATTTCTATCTTAGTTTAGATTTCTTAGTTTAAATTTTTGATTTAGTTTAAATTTTTTTTCTTAATTTAAATTTTTTTTTTCTTAGTTTAAATGCATAAATTTATAGTTTAAAGTATTTTATCATTATAGTTTAAATTTTTTACAGTCTAATTTTTTTAAATAAAAAAATAATACAAAAATTTAAGTGATTTAAGATTTGTTTTATTTTTTTTCTATCAAGAATTTGCGATATATTCTATATATTCTATATAAATTATAAATAACCAATTACAATTTACAAATAAAATTAAATAATTATAGAATTTGGAAAAAAAATAATGAATACCTTCGATTAATTGCTGACATAGAAACATGTTAGAATTCAAGCTATCTTGCATAGAAACGCCTAATAAAAATTAAAGATCTTATTAATATTTTAGTATCTACTTTGATGATTGATCCTGATACACAACGAGATGGCAAACAACTAAAGGATATAAATCTAACTGATGATGAATGGCAAGCAATAAGTAAATTAATAATTATCTTGGAGGATTTTGCTGGAGTAATTGAATACCTAGGTGGAAGCAATTATACAACAATTAGTTTGATGTATAGTTTGTTAGCAATAATCAGCAAAAAAATAATACCTGAGAACTCTGATATGGAAGTTATAGATCTTACTAGCCCAAATACTACCTTTGATGATGATATTGGTTATGAAGATGCTCCGGAGGATGAACCTATTACTCAAAAACCTAAACATAAAAAAATTAATATTAATATTCTGCAAAATTGTTTTAATCTTGAAAATGCGTTAAAACAGTATTGCATTAATCTATTAATCACTATTAGGAAGTTCCACAAGAGCAAGGAATGTTAGTTGCATTATTGGATCCATGATTCAAAGATTTAGAATTTGCTTCTGAAATATTGCGTATGAGAACTCATGAGCAATTAAAGATGCTTATCAAGATATGAAAAACTTAACTAATGAAGATCAAAAAGCCGAATCCAGACCTGTTTTATCAAATTCATTATTGGCAAGAATGTTTCAAAATAATTATATTCATATTGATGAAGTAACTAATTATTTAACTATGCCAAAGATTCATTTTGATGATTGTTCTTTGTTATGGTGGAAAACTAATCAAACCCGATTTCCAATATTATCAAAATTAGCAAGAATGTACTTGGCAATTCCTGCTACCTCTACACCAAGTGAGAGGCTTTTTAGTGAAGCTGGTAATGTGATGACTATAAAAAGAACACAATTAGCACCCAACACATTAGAAAACCTGTATTTTTGTAAAAAAAATTGGCGTTTAGCTGGGGGTTTTTCCATTGAGTAATATTTGTGAATTAATGAAGAATAAATAAATAAAGCGAACATTTGGATTTTGTCATTACGATCTAATTGATTTTCTTAGAAAAATTATATTTATATTAGCAAGGAATTCAATACATTGGCCTTCATCATGAGATACAGTAATAAATTTAATTAAGTAATAATGATGTTCTAAAATAGATAATTACATTATTTTTCGTTAAATAATAAAAAAAAATATGGAAGCGAAAAAAGCTATTTAAATGATAATTTTTGTTCATTAAGACATTAATTATAGTAATGCAGATTATTCCTTCTTTAAATTTCAACTTCTCACACTATATTACCAACCTTTTTGATATCTTTAATTGTTTTAGACTGAAAACATATGGTGTCTTAATATCTTTGTATTTCGTTTGCACATGAAAAACTTTGTTCCTCAAATGTTTAGATCTCATTATACAATTATACTAACAGATTAGCAACGGATTGGCAGGTCGGTATAGAAATTAATTCATTAGGAGCTATTTTGTTAATGTTTGGGAAGGAAAATGAACGTGTTAGCTAAAGAAAGTTACTATCAAACATGGAATTTACAAGAAATTAATAAGAAAAAATGCCCACCCTTTTACAAATGGAAATAGAAGAGTGTTTAAGTTGCTTTTGAACTATTTGCTATGTGGTACCCCTTAATTTGTATATAGGAGCAAAAACATTAAACCATTACCATCTAATGCACTCGAGAATATACATTCGGAAAATAAAAATAAATTTTTATTATCCGTTACGGATTTATCCGGATTTCACAGATAGCAATCCATATCCGTAATGGACGCCACGGATTATCTGTATACGGATAAATGGATATCCGGATCGGACCACTAGGTTGGCTGATCGAAATTGCAATAAAAAAACTCAATTATATTTTAAAATATATTAATAAATCATTTCGATAGAATAATTAAATAATACAATATAAAATTTAGTTAAAATAGGTTAATCACTGTTTACATTAATAACGATAACGATGAAGTGGTTAATTGTGAAAAATCTATGAATAAACATCATTTATAGCAACAATATTTGAAGATAATCCTTAAAGATTTTTTTTTTTAAAAAAAAAAAAAATAGTAATTTAAAATCATTATATATGTTTTAATATAATGGAATTGTAATATTTCGTGAAGACATTTAGGAACAGAATTTGTAATACTATTGTATACTACATAGTTTTTAGATTTTTCAAATTCATCTAATAGTCTTATACTTCGGTCATGGTAAAATTTTTTTATTCAGTCCCTTCGTTGTATTCAAAGCTACAACATATTTTTGCACATCTTTGTTCCTTAATATACATATTGGAACTTTCACCAGTTGGGAGAAGTTTTTCGAAAGAAATTTCCAAAATCAAGTTTACAATCAGATAAATTTGTTTGGAATCAAACTCGATTTGAACTAGCCTGGGAACTTAGGGAAGGACTGATTTTGCTGCTGAAAAACACTTGCAAATCCCCTTTTTTTATTGAAATTGAGCAGCGAGGGAGGCTTGGATTTTATCGAGAACACAAGATCTTTCTACTGTTGAAAAAATACAAATCAAAATTCATGATGCATTAACTTGGGTGTGATCAGACCATTATTTAAGCATATGATCGGGACGTTTTATTTTGCGGACAACAAAAACGTTCTTGATTTAATATGTGTATTTACGACAAGTTGTGTGTAGTGAGGGATCAATCAAGAGCTTCTTTGAGAACATGGCATCTAAATACGATCAAAGTATTTAAGCGAGTAAGATATATATCAATGGGATGGGATTGAAAACCTCACTGAGGAATTATTAAGCTTTTAGACATATATTTTGTTATATTTTCTGCGTCGCTGTATTAAAGTTTAAGTATTTTAAAATGTGTATACTACTGCGTGCACTGAATAAATAAAAATTGTATAGGATCCCATTGTTCATTCGATAGGTAATCATTAAAGTTATTATTATATAACTATGCTATGATAAAAAATTAAATATCAATAAAAAGATAAAAATGAAAACCGTACATTTTTTTTTGACCTTGATAAAAGTTTTGATATTGTTTATCATGAAATTAGTCGGAAATTTTTTTATTTTGTAAAATAAAATAAAACACGGGTTTGCTATAGCAGGCGAGTCTAAAAAAGAAAAGGAGGCTTTACCTATTATTTAATAGATAGACGTTTTTTTCTCTAAAAAACAGGACGAAAGGCCAAAGCTTAGATGGTTGATAATTATTATTAAATTTTCAAAATTTAATCGGAATTGAAGCTCTTCGTGGACTTCGTGGACACAGTTGAGTGTGGCACCCTTCAGACCTGTGGAATAAAGAAACGTGTAAGGGTGTTTCTACGATTAATGTCAACAGATTCTGAATGAAGAATTGGTTAAGCGTAAATTTCATAGAAACTTGTAAATTCAAGGCATATATCAGTTTGTTCCTGAGGGTATTTTCTATTCCGTCTTTAAAGAATTGTGGTAAATAGATACACGAATAAAACGAATCGCAGCCCCTGTCGCTGACGACTATAAACGTTCTTCTTGGTGATGACGCAGTCCTCACGATTTTTTCAAGTGGTCCAAGATATACATCGGTGACAAAGAAACGGAGGAAGTTGGTACGTAATGTAGGACGAATCTTCTTTTTGAGTCATTGTGTAGTGTGTGTAGTGTAGATGAAGAACCATTGTGAATGTTCGTACCGTCCGGCGATAAAGCTGTGCCGATAAATATGAAAGGATAAATATTAAGCAAGCCTAAAAGGAATAAGCAAGTCAAAACATAAATAAATAAAATCTTTTATATACGAAGTTTTGAGTAAAAAATTAAAATTGTTATTTCTTTAAATCATATTCAAAAGTCACCAAAAATCCTTAACCGGTTAATAACCGGTTAAAAATTTCTTTAACCGGTTAAATTTAACTCAGGCCGGCACTATAAATTTGGGCAAAACTAGCAAATTTTGTAATTGC